CATATAATCCCCATTTAGATAGCCAATACAGAGTTAATAGTAAACTAATTAATTTTGAAGATGATAAGTGTTTTATAAAATATGATGATTTACCCTTTACTTATAGAACTAATCACGAAATTTGGGAATGTGTAACTATAGGGCTAAATTATTATAACAAATTAATATTTGATGATAGAAATAAAAAAGTTTATTTAAAATCTAATGTTATAAAAGGTTACGATTTGATTTTTGGCGTAGCTTATAAAATGAAATATGTTTTTTCAACTTTTTTTAGACGTTCGAGTAGAGATAATTCAGTAATTTTGGGTGGTAGATTACAAATAAGGAGTATTACAGTCAATTTTAGCAACACTGGTGTGTTTGATTTTGTAATAAAAACTAATAACAATGATTATAAAACAGTGCATACATTTACAGCAAAAGAGCTCGATACCAAAAGCACTACATTTAAAACAAATGATATTTTATTATCTACTGATAGTATATTTGTACATGCACCTGCAAAAAATACTAATTTAACAGCTTCAATTGAATCGGACAAAGCACTTCCTGTTGAAATTAATTCCTTCTCTTGGGAGGCAGTGTATGTTAGACGTAGTAAAACTGCCAGATAATGCCGAGCTAAAAAAACCTACTAGAAAAGATATAGATTATATCTCAAAAAATTTAAGACTAGCCGACGCAAAAGAATTGTTAGCTTTAGAAACTAGTTTATCATTCTATACATTGTTAAAACAAGCTGTTGCAGTATCTACAGAAAAATATGTTTTAAGAGTTGATGATGTTCCTGTTTGTTTGTTCGGTATATACAATAATACAGCTGAAAAAATAGGTGTAATCTGGTGCGTAGCTACTCATACACATAGATTAATGATTAAACATGCACCGACGGTTCTTAGATATTGGGAATTGAAATATAGAACAATGTTAATGAATGAAATTTTTATTGAAAATCGGCTACATATCAAATGGTTAGAAAAATTAGGTTTTGATTTTCTTGAACATAAACATAGAAAAAATTTTAAGGTGTTTTACAAAAATGTGTAATCCAAATTTGATGGCAGTGGCACTCATGGGAGGGCAACAAGCCTACAATTCAATCAATCAGTCTAATGTTAACGCACTAAACACTGAAACTGCTAACAGAAACTATTTATATAACATGCAAAATCTAGCAATTGAAAGCCAAGAGCGTAGAGCTAGTGTAGCTAATACTATGATGCAATCACAACAAAATGCTACTACAAATATAGCTAATACACAGGTAAATAGTGCAAGCGGTGGCTACACTGGTTTATCTATTGATAGTATTGTATCAGCTGTAACTAGACAGCGTGCATTAGACGATGCTAATACTATGCAAGTTAATAATAATAGAGATATCACAGAAAATATTAGGGGCGATTTAGTGCTAGAGGATCGTAATTCTACTATTAATAATCTACAAAGACCCAAAAATATTTTTGATATTGCAGTGGGTACTGGATTAAAAATGTTTGGAAATGCTTGA